TAAGTGATATAAATTGTAAATTATATATAAAACTTATAGTATTTATTTTTTTTAAAAAACTTTATTAAGTAAATTATTTTAGAACTATTAAGTAAAATTATAAACCAAAATTTTCAAGTTATTAACAAAAATTATATAATAATCATATAATATCAACCAATTATTTCATATAACTAACAGTTTGAGCCAACTACTGTATATCAGGAAAATTTAAAATTAGATTATAATCAATTAAAATTTAAGGATTTTAAATGATTTTTATTATCACTGAAAATTAAAATCAATTAGATTTTTATCAATTATAATTGATATAAATTATTACTATTGATTATAAATCTTTTAAATTGTATCAATTTTTATCATCAACAATTATTATTAATTTTGATATGAATCAATTATCAACATCACCATCAGTTATAATTACTTAAAGCCAATTAATTATAACCAATTAACTGTTTTGTAACTAATTATAATCAGGCTTTAAAATTTCCTGATGTAAGTAGGGTTGGAGGCACGGGGTATGAGGCATGCCTTTTGGGTATGCCTCCTGAACATGCTTCTAGGCATGCTCTTTTTCAAAAAATTTATATATATAAACATAAAAAATTTTGGAGTATGCCTATAGGGCATGCCTCTAAATCAAAAAAATCAGAGGCATGCCCATGGGGCATGTCCGAAAATTTTCCCGTGCCCCCAACCCTACAACTAAAACAAACTTTACAACATATAAAAATATAATTTTTTTAAATATATATTTTATATATTAAAAAGAATATTTTGTTCTATATATTATAAAATTTTAGTTAAAAGTATTACAGTTATAAGAAGTTTTATTAATAGCACATTTTTATTTTCTATATAAATCTTATTATACTACTAACCTTAAAACAACATCTGGAAGTATAATCTAAGATATATTTAATGTAAAAAGCATTGAATTCATTAATTTTATATTTTTTAATATCAAAGTATATAGTATAATTAGTAATATAGTATTAAAAAAATATTAAAATTTTCTATATTATAATGTAATTAGTTTTTAATAATAATTTAGCAACAAAATTAAATCATTATACATATATAATTTAATGTAGAGAGCATTGTTTCTCTGATTTTATAGTGATATTCTATATTAATTTAATATTAGATATTTTTCTGATGAGAGTCTGATTTTTTAAGAATAATTGAATTATTAATCCGACGCATATTAGAATCAGACTGGTGACGGCAAAATTAGTACCATCCGGATGGCACATAGACAACTCCAACATGGTTATTAAACAAAATTCTTACTATTGTTACAATTTGTAAAGAAACGAAAACAAGATGGATTATTATTTATTTATTTTTATTTTTTTTGGGGGGTTTTTTTTTTTAAACACTTAAATCATTATTCTATCGAACCTCATGTATTCAGAAAAATCCAAATATGAAATGCAATAAAGACACCATCTTACGGCTTATTATTTGTGAACATTTTATCTAATTCTGTTTTATACTTTGCTTCTATGTCTTTACGTTTGATTTTCGATGCCGCTGTAAGAAGACCCTATAGATATAAATGAGTATTAGGAATTATATCTAATAACAGAGTTAAACAAAGTGACATCTTACGCCCAAACCCTTTTCCTTAGCAATATTATGGATCTGAGCTTCTACAGGGTATATAAGAGCCACAGGTTTACTCTGTAATGAGTTTGCACAAATACAAAGATTGGACACATAAAGCGTGGATTTGTAGACAGATTCGAGTTTTTCCAGAGCAATATATTCTCCATTTGAGAGTTTCACCAAATTCTTTTTTCTATCAATAATACATAAAGTTCCATTCTCTTTCCATTCTCCAATATCACCGGTCTGAAGCCATCCGTCTTCAGTGAAAGTCTCTTTTGTAGCTTGTTCATTTCTGTAATAACCT